TAAACATGACAATCGACACATATTAAAGAGTTGGACAAAAAAGAAAAGAGATATTTTTTTTTCCGACTATCAAGAACTAAAAGATACAAATTATAAAGTAACTTATTTTGCAACAATTTATTTAAGAAAATATTTTCTGTCGTACCTAAACATTATTGCTAAACGATAAAAAATAAACAATAGATCATGATCATCGATCAACAAATAATTCATTTTTAGCTACGAACTATTTAACAACAAATTACGTATTATCAATACCTTGGAAGAGAAGTTCGAACATATCGAGACGCGAAAGTCGAGTGAACGGACACGTCACTTTCCGATGCTATCTTGGACAGAACCATGGTGGCGTAGTGGTGGTACAACGACGGAGAAGATCAAAGAGTAAAGCAAAAGAGATAAAATGGAGAAAAAAAGAAGATATTTTTTTTTTCTTGAAGAAGAAATGTATAGGAAGAGTCACTATATATAAAATAATGAAATTTGGAATATGTGGAAGGACTAACAAGTCATTATTGAAACTTAGAATTTAAGTTATATATAAATTTATCTAACATCGTTGATTTTTTTTGTAGCAGATAATTTATCTTATTTTTAAAATTATAAATTTAAAACATTTAAGTAGATTTATTGGTAAATAATTTTAAAACTATTTGATAGTACTATAATTTTATTTACTCCGACAATGTGTTAGGTTGTTGATTTTGATTTTTATAAGTCATATTATTCACTATAGAAAATAAAAGAGATATTAAATGATTATAAATTATTTTTCAGGTGAAATTAAATTAATATAATTATATTCAAAATCGCTAAATTTCTAATGACATTATCTATATAAAATACTACTTCTATACTATTTATTATTGTCGCCCAATAATTGGTAAAAAACTATTTATTAGTTGTAGTGATAGAAAATAGTCTCATTCAAAAAATTTAATTACATTTTTTTAAAGGTAGCAATATAATTATTATGAGAATTTTAATGCAATTAAAGGTAAGAATAAGCTGATTAACAATTTGGACTTTTAACTTTATAAGTTGTAAATGTAATGCTGCTGCTAAAAGTATATTATAAAGATTTTGAATTATAAAAAATTCCACAATTATTTTTATATATTAATAATTAATAATACTCCACATATATTATCAGCTTTTGTACTTCAACTACGTAATCATTTATTCAAAGAATAAACAATTTCAATATAATAGCTTTATTTGAATATATTTTTTAGTTGGAATGTTACAAATATGTTATTGGAATTCCAGATATTTTTTCTGACTTTTTTTTAATTAAAAAAAATCCATAAATTGATTGTTCCCTTGCTTTTTCAGGTTTCTCATGATTAATATTTTTTCCACGCACATAATTTATTATAAATATTAATCATCGAAAAAAAAGTCATTTATAATGATTTGGTTTACACAAATCCCACATATGCACATACTTCAAAAACCTTATAATTTATTAAGTGAAAAAACTATAAAAAAATTTAAAAATCTTATAATATTTATTTTTCAAGAAATAAGTAAAATAATTAAATTAAATGAATTTTTACTTCATTGGAATATGTGCAACGTCGGTGATACGATATTACCTCCCCACATGTTACAAAAGAATCTATATGTATCGATTTTTATTCTAAAAAATCTTCAATTGAAATTTATAAAAAGACAAGTGGACCAATCAAAAATTAAAACAGTTATACCATACCAAAATAATTTATTTGAACCAGTCACTAAAGAACCATTAAATTATCAGCTTGATTCCTCCACCTAACTCATTATTTTCATAATTAAATAATGTCTCAAGCTCCATTGGTACATATATATTCTCACTACAACAAATAAGAGATATTATATGCAAACTATTTAACGATAATAATAGGGATAATGCACAAATATCCCCTCAATCTATGTTCAAAATTTCAGATTCACATTTATATTATACTAATGTTCTATTACCACCTGAACTTATTTTATTAATAATTTTCTACCCTTTTCGACCTATATGACACTATTTTGTGGGCCCAACGCTGGTTGACTTTTTTTTTTCAAGATAGTGCCACGTAGTTCAAAAAGGGGTAGAAATTAAAATAAGTTGAGGAGGGTAATAGGACCTTAGTATAATATAAGTGTTGTCTCTGTAATTTCGAACATCATTTTCCAATAATAATATAACATAAGTATTAATAATCAATATCTCACATTAATATCACTAAAAGTTTTAGCGATTTTTGATATAATAATATTAACTGAATATTTTAATAGCAATAAATATTATCGTTAGAAGAAAAAATAATAATCACGAATGGTCTATTTTGTGGTACGGTCTTGTTGTATGCTTTTCCTATTATTTTTTCCCTCTTAACTAAACAAAAAATTTATCTTAAAAATGGAAAAGAATTATTCTTTTATTTTTTTAAAAAAAGAGTGAACATCTTTACCCAAGACATAAGAAAAGTATATGTGCATAAAGATAATATTAATAAATTCAAAAATTGATTTATATCTACCTTGGTCAATAGTGGAGGACTAATTAATAAAAGAACATGGCCCAAAGTTCATGCCAAACTATCATTATCATTTATTTATTTAATTAAAATAATTTTTACTTTATACAAGACACCACTTGGTTTGTTGATGCCTTGATTGAAGGAGACAAGTGCCAAATTTCTAAAAGACAAAAAAAATTGTAATAATTGTACACTTAAGGTGTGGCTTTCAAGATTAGTGAGATGAAGTGTAAATTATGTGAGATTAAACTTTTTTTCTTTTAAAAAAAGTTAAATGGTAACACTTTTTAATGGATTGAAATTTTGACGAGTGAAAATTTGACACTTGTATAATGAAATTATTATAGAATGAATTTAAATTTTTTATAATTAAAATGTCTGTGAATATATTAGAGTTCAGTTATTGTGATGTTCGTGATACGAAGCAAATTGAAAAAAAATATATATATGTAATATTTTAAGTGAATTTTATTTAGAAAGTAGGTAGTAGCAAGATTCCTATTTTTTTTGTTATATTTTGGAATATAATGTTGACTATTGAGAAAAAATTTTATAATTTAAAGTTCAGGCCAAATACATAAACAGATCCTTAAATTTGTTGGGATTTTCCCCTCGAGTACTTCAACTATGTCATTTTTCTACTGAATCATTGAACCACCCATAATTTGTTCCTTTAAAACACTGTTGGTTGATTTTGATCGGCTTTTCTATTGTAAATGCCTTCAATTGTGTTCGAATTATAATAATTTTGATCGAAGGAATGAAGACAAACCGTGTTAGTTTCATTTGTTTTCTAATGTGTTCAAATGACTTAAGTAAAACACAATTATTCTCGAACATTTTCATTATCAATTGGATTAATGAGTTCTAGAACAACATATGTATCCTCTATCAATACCCCTCACAAATATGGTTCCACATTAGTCAATAGTGTTTGTTTAAACGGAACAAATTATGGGGGTTGAATGATTCAATAGGAAAATGACGTAGTTGAGGTACCTGAGGGAAAAAACCCAACAAGTTTAGAAATCTGCTTATGTATTTGGCCTAAAGTTCAACTAATTAAAGGTATGTTCGACTTTGAAATGTTTCATTTGTATTTTGTTTTTGTTTTCTTTCTATTATCATTACACCAAAACGCGTACGTACGTGTTCACATATGATTGGTCAAAATATATTATTTTCTAACAAAAAATTAATTAATTAAAAAAGACACTAGAAAAGATAATTAAAAAACGAAGTTGAAAAGTAGCATCTGATGATGCAACGAATAACGTGGATGATTTAATATTGAAAGTGACCTAGTCTTTTTGATTAAACGTATCGAGTTTGAACATAAAATGTAAAAAGATTTTATTAATTTTTTTTTATTTTATAATATGAATATAAATTAGTCAGATAAGTAATATTTGGATATATATAAGAAAAAACAACTTTTGTATGAAAGCGAAATTTTCTCTATCAAGTTTTATGTAGATCGAATTTTTAATTAATCGAATCATTAAAAATATTATCAGATGATTATATATATAATAGAATTTAAAGTGATTGATCAATGACCATTGGAGAGAGTATATATCACTTTACCGGTTAATTAGAAGTGTCAAATTTAAATATGTAAATAACAATACCCTTAATAAAAAAGTAAGGTTCTTAACTAATTTAATTCTTATTATATATACGGCTGAAATTTATTTTTAAAATTTTAATAATGTTTTTGATATATCACGAATATTTATATTGTGACGATGAAATATTTGTATAATTAGAAGTATTTGAAATCGTTAATTTACTGTATATGTGATGTTAACTTGGTCCATTTGGGAAGTTCTAGAATTCTATTACAAAAATATCTCAATTTTTTATTTGACTTAATTGGAAATGTGAAAGGAAAGAAAAATAAAAGGAGTTGGCCAGACATGCTGAAAAGTAATGGCAACAATAATTTACACTTTCCTTATTTGTTTGGACATTACTTTTCAATAATTTTGAATTATATTTCTTACATATATAAAAGGGAAAAAGGGACAAATATATTCCCTAACTATCATAATGGTACGCAGATACCTTTCGTCATATTTTAAGGATATTGGTGTTCCTATCGTCTAAAAATTAGAATGTATATGCCATTCAGTCTAACAGAAGACTAACTGAGGACCCGTGACACAATTTTATTCATCGATCTGATGTCGGATCAATGCATAAATGTATCTCTGTTAGTATAAAGGGTATATATGTTCTAATTTTTGAACGACAGGGACACCAATGTCCTTAAAGTATGACAAAGGGTGTCCTAAGAAAGGTAGAAGTTGACGAAAGAAGGATCGGGCAGATGTGATTAAATAAGAAATGTCACACTTATAACTTACCAAGGATACAACTCTATACAGAAGGATATGGAGGTCGAGAAGGTTGACGAAGAAAGATTGGAAAGAGGTGATTAAACAAGACATATCACACCTACAACTTAACGGAACATGACTCTAAATAGAATTTCACGGAATATATTATCGACTTTATAGTTGTTGTTGGTACAACTTAAATCAACTTGCCTAGGAACCACTTAGGACAGTTTACTAATAACTAATGACATTCTAGATACAAATGGCAAATATGAAACATTATACACTAATTTTATTTTGCATAAAAAATCATCTGAAAATTCAAAGTTTATTTTCCACATGGATCAATGAGGGGAACAAGAACACACACTAATCCAGGGTTAAGTGTGGATTAGTGAATAATGATGCACTAGAGCCATAATACAACAACTGACACCTTAATCCCAAACAAGTTCAGATCGTCTATATGAATCGATCCTCAAAGTTCTGGCAAAATGTCATTCTCCTCTAAGCGGAAACCTATCCTGAAAGAACAGATTAAAAATAAAAGAGTCAAAGAAAGAACTATACTGATTATAACAAAAGGCCGCTAGACACGCTGTCTAGAGGTATAAATTCGATTAAAAGAAATGATGATTATAAAGCAGCATAACAGTGATATGAAAATTTTAATGAATGAAGGGTTGATCAGAAGTCTGTTGAAGTTGAAGGGCTGAAAAGCTATGTTGCTTGAGATGATAAAGATTTCGATCAGAAAAACGTACACTTATATCTTTGCTTTTAGAAGTCTAGCTTTCAGCTCATCAGCCACAGCATCGATGAACTCTCCAGTGTTCACATATTGACGTCTAGCGACCCTGTAAGGTAACAATGACACGCAAATTATAATGACGACAACACAAAGGGCTAACATCAGAACACAAAACAGTAGGGATCCTCACTTGGATCCGTGGATAATAAGTGCTAGATCTTTTGTCATTTTCCCGTTCTCCACTGCACCAATGCAAGCTGCTTCTAGTTTCTTGGTGAAATCCAAGAGTGCAGTATTGTTGTCCAACTTTGCCCTGTTAAACATAATGATTATTTGTTCGGTACTTCTATCATTAAAAATCTAAGTGCATCCTCGAGTTTGAGCAGTGCACAATCTGAAACTCGATGGACAATGGACCTGCCTGTGACAATGGTCTGAATCCATGGTGTGCGCCTAATCCACACATCACGTGACCAAAGTCCTGGGGGCACTAAGCAGAGCAAATTAAGTACCAGAATGTCCTACCTATGTGCAAGTCCACGAGTCCAAGCAAAAATCGAGGCAATGCTATTTGTGCTGGTTTCACCTCCTTTCTGATGAACCCTGTAGTGGCGTGTAACAGTTCCATGGGCTGCTTCTGCTTCCACGGTCTTTCCATCCGGACATATCTGCACCAAATATACCAACCCGATTTGAATCCAATAAAGTCGCAAGACAGCAACGAAGCCAAAATGATCCAACAAACGATAAGTTTTATTTTCTAGAAAACTTTAAGACCTTCTGCATCTAAGCATGGATTTCCCGAATAATCATATGAAATCACAACACAAGGACTCGACATTAAAGAAACTGGGAGCAGCAGGGGAAAATGGAAGCAAGTAAAAAACATACCAGGATCGATGTCATCAATCCAAGCGATCCAAATCCTATTCAAGCAATAAACAATATAAGAACGATTACCAGCATTGAAGTAGGTGGCAAAAGTGAAAATTGAACACGTAAACTTTTTTCATATTGCAAGTCCAAAATGTATTATAGATAATTAATAAACCGTTAGCCAGCAGGCAAGCATACCTTGTGCTAAGAAATCACTCTGTACATCTCCATCATAGTTTTTACATGCCCATACATAACCACCGTCACTTTTTAAAGCATAAGCAACCATATCATCAATGAGGCGATGTTCGTACCTATTTTGATGAATTCAATCATTTAACAATCTGTCATTTACAATCATTAACAACAATCAATTGTTGGAAATGAAAAGTTGGGTGCTTACCAGATCCCAGCTTCCTCAAACTTTGACTTCCATTTTGACTCGTAAACTTCCTGGAATATGTCCTTGAATCTTCAGAAAAGATCATAGAAGTAAGAAGACAAACCTCAAAATAGAAGGGGTCGAGAAGATAGGCAAATAGAGGTAACAAGGTAAAGGAACAATCCAATTTAAATGGTGAGTATGCAGAGATACAGAATAAGATCAACGCTAGCCATACCTTCCGTCGTATTTCTTAAGGATGGTATTTTTTGTGCTAAGATAGAGTGGCCATTTCTTTTGGTATGCCATGTTCATAGAAGCTTCAGCAAAAGAGCAAATAGACTGCACCGAAAGAAAAAACCAACAAAGATGCATAACTCCAGGAATTCTAATTATCTCTTTTTTAAGCTATATTGCTCGGACTGTGCAGCGTGTGATCCTCCAAAAGTAGTGCATTTTTGGAGGATCTGACACGGACAAGACAACATTATTGGAGAGACAGAGCAACATAGGTTTTAGGTACGCTCAGACCTCATCAGTGTTGTACATGGATAGAGCTACTCCACCAGCACCAGTGAAGTTGTACACCTCAAACTCGGTCTTTTCATCTGTCCCTTCTGGTACTGCAGTCATGTTCAATACAATATCTCAGCAACCTTTTCAATACAAAATCACTAAAAAAAAGTAGTAAATGAACTGGAATCAATATACTCATAGCCAAACTAGAGTAGAGCAAAATATCTTAGCAGAGTTCCGGAATCATACAGATTTATGCAATTATACTGATACTGATGGGCAAAACTTTACCAAATACTAATTTGAGTTTTCCAGCTCCTTGAATCACTGTATCAGTAGCTCGGTATTGATCACCAAAAGCATGTCTGCCAATGCATATCGGTTTTGACCAACCTGACGTGAGTTATATCTATGTAAGTCAGAGAGAACCAAGTGAACAACTACCACAGCTAGAACTTCAGCAAATAAAACATACTTGGAACAAGTCGCGGGATATTTTTGCAGAGGATTGGTTCCCTGAACACCGTACCTGCGAAAAAATAGCCAATAATAATGGATATCTTCAATTTCATACAAAGATATCACACACCAAAACTGGTAGAAAAGGAGACTCACCATTCAAAATGTTCCTAATTGTCCCATTTGGGCTCTTCCACATATGCTTCAAGTTAAACTCGTTCATACGAGCCTCATCTGCAAATGCATTAATGTACAACTTTAATCTAGTTTCAACATCTTATATTATCTATTTGAGGGATTTTTTACTTCACGGAACTTATGATTTTCTCAAACTTTCTTCAATCAAATTGCAGCGTATAGTTCCTTGATGTAGGTTCTAAACACGTAAATTTTAAAGATTAATGAGTAGATTTCTGATATGACACTCAAATTTGATGGTTTAACCGTTGTACCCTGAATACCATCATTAATCCGGGACCAGCAGATTAATAAAATCAAATAAACCACACGGAAAAATGTAAGCACCTGGAGTAATGGTTGCACACTTAATAGCTACATTATACCTGCAATTTTTCAGTTCAAACATAATAAGGCTGGATATATAAAGATCAAAGATTCAGTAATCGATGGAAAGATTACAGAAAGTCAATATATGAGCTTGGTCCTAAAACAATCGCTCTTTCATCAAGCAGAAACTTAGAGATAAAAAAAGTGGATACATACTTCAAAGTAGCCTCAGCGCTTTCAATTGTAACCTTATCATCTGTGGCATCACGATGAGGAAGTCCAAGATCGAAGTATTTTATATCCAACTCCAGAAAAGGCAAGATGAGCTAAAGCTTAAAAGAAAATTCAAATGTCAGCAACTGTGAAATGAACACCAGAAAATAGAGACAGAATATTCTGCTGACATATACATAAGACAAAAACAATTTGTTACCTTATCCTTAATTAATTTCCAAATGACACGGGTCATTTCATCTCCTGCAATACATAGCCAGGTAAAGAAACATAAGAAAATGAAAATAAACATTTCTTGACAGTTAAGAAGAACCAACAAGTAATGCAGTGGACCAAACTAGTTTATCATATATAGAATGACATAATGTGAACTTTTATCATACTTTGAAGGCTGATTATCATTTCACCCTGCTCCTTTATTATGGAAATAACTACAATTTTTGGAAATGAACTTACTAGTGAACTAGCTGTTACATATGGTATCAGAGGTGCTTCCGCGTCTAACCTTAAAGAATAGTGAGGAAAACTTAAGCATGAATGTTGAGCCCCTAAAGGGAGGTGTATGTAACACCTTAGGAAAATTTCACATTGACAAAACATGGAGAGATGTTGGTATATAAAGAAACAGGTCCTAGACCCTCGTGATGTGAACTCGGTGTTATCAAAAGTGTAAAAAAGCTCTAAGGTCCATTGGGGCTTTAAGTGCAAAGTGCATATAAAGCACAAGCTTTAATAAAAAGAGGCACAAACAGAGAAAAAAATACAAAGATATATGTTTAGTCCAAGATTATACATGGACAAAGAATTTGAAACTTCTTCTTTTTTTTTTTTTTTTGAAATTATAGCCCAGTGGTGAATGAAGTGTGTTTAAAACCATAAGGTCTCAGATTCAATTTCCAGCGGAGGCAAGAACACCAGGTGATCTTCCCATATGCCCATACCCCAGTGGATAGAATTACCCGATACCTATGCTAGTGGGAGGTCGCACAAGTTGGCCAAGACATCACTGTTCTAAAAAAAGTACATATTTTTATAAAATTACAGCCTCCAGATATTAGTGGACTGGTACATAAAAATGCAAAAAGAACAAAAATAAACTCCACAAATATTCTTTCATAATGGTTAAGAAGAGACCTTTTTCAGCCAGAATCAACATAAATATCAATTTTTTAAATAAAATCAGTACATAAATTAGGATATAACAGTCTACTGAAACTGAAGCAGCTATATATGCACATCAATTTCAAGCAAGTTTTAAAAAGCAACATACAAAAAGAAACATGTATTGTTATGAAATTACAGCCAGTAGTCAATGAAATGAGCTGAGAACCACGAGATCTCAGCTTCGCTTTTAGAGGAGACATAGACACTAGGTAACTTCTTCATTGTAAGCCATGCACCAAGTGGAATTAGACAAGGTGCGCCCAAGCTAGCCCAGGTACCTCGGTTACAAAGAAAAAACACATATTTTTATGAAGCTACAGCCTCCAGATATTAGTGGACTGGTAGATAAAAATGCAAAAGAAATAAAATAAAATCCCACAGATACCCTTTTACAGTGGTTAAGAAGAGACCCTTTTCACCCATAATCAAGAATCAGCATAAAAATCAATTCTTTAACCAAAATCATTACATAATTAAGATATAACAGCCCATTGAAACAGAAGTAGCATAAAAATCAAGTCTTAAACAAAAAATCAGTACATAGAATATAACAACCTACATAAAAATCAATTCTTTAACTACAAACATTACATAATTAGAATATCACAGCCTACTGAAACTAAAGCAGCATAAAGATCAAGTCTTGAACTAAAATCAGTACATAATTAGGATATAACATCCTACTGAAACTGAAGCAGCATAAAAATCAAGTCTTTAACAAGACTCAATACACATTTTAATGAAATTACAGCCTCCAGATATCAGTGGACTGGTAGCTAAAATGCAAAAAACAGAATTAAAAAAATCCATAGATACCCTTTTCGAGTGATCAAAAAGGGAAAATCTCAGTAGCTCAGTTGGTTGAGTACATAAATCTTTCACCACCTTGTAATTACCTGAGTCCAGTGGCATAGAAAGAATTTTAACAAGGTGATTCAAAATCTGAGAAGTATACACACGAACTAACCGAAGGGTTCGACATCTACTGTGTATAAATATAAGAGTTGGCTCCGCCCATTTAGCTCCCCTACTCCCAATTTCACTTTTTTTTAAAAAAAAAAGAAGACACCCTTTTTACTCATAATCAAGAATCAGCATAAAAATCAATTCTTTAACTAAAATCACTACATAAACTTGGATATAGCAGCCACATCTATTTACAAACATCAATTTCAAGAAAGTTGAAAAAAAAAATCACATAATCAAACAAAAGCATAGAGTGATACATAAATAAGGATCTGACCGTCCATTTCAACTATGGGGTTAGCCACTTTGATCTTTTGGAAAGCCATTTTCAGTGAAAAATTGAGATCAAGAACTGGAAATTCTGGTACTATAAAGAGTAATGGTGTTTGATAAAGAAAGTTTCGCCTGCGGGAGAAGCTTAAATTGTAACGAAATGGGGAAAAAATAATATTATTTTGGAGGGGTTGAAGTTTTGAAGGAAAATACAAATTGGATATATAAACAAAGTTATACGACATTACTGTAAAAAGTATATTCTGAAATGAATTTTCAATTACGTATTTGTTTCAATAACAACCATTCCATGTGATATTCATTTTTGAGAACAACATTCTTGGAAATTTTCACTATTTTAAACGTTTTAATTTTGAGTATGCATATTTAAATATGTTAGTTTAATTGAATTTTTTAGATTCGTTGAATATTTATGTATCATGTCAGTATTAAGAGTTTATTGAGTCATTCTATGTTGAGTTAGTATGTACAATTGTTAGTTGAGATAGAATTAAAGTGTCTAAATATGCTTTCTTAAAGTGTGAGGGTTTAATTGTCAATTGAGGTCAAATTTTAGTATAGTTTTATGTATTATGTTTTGTTTTAATTTTATTATGGTGAGTCTTCAATTTTTTAAAATAAAATTTACATATTTTGAAACTATATAAAAAATATTGGAATAAAGGGTGTGTTTGGTATGCAGAAAAACATTTTTCGAAAAATATTTTTCAATTTTCTCATGTTTGGTTGGGTCGAATGTTTTCCAAATTAATTCATTTTCCTCAAATTTAAGGAAAATGACTTTTCTTCAAAATTTAAAGAAAATATTTTCCAAAACTTTCTTTCAAGCTCCCCCTATCACTCCACCCTACTAGCCCTCAACCCACCCCCTATTAGCCCCCATCCACCCACCCTACCAGCCCCCAACCCACCACTTACCAGCCTCTTACTCCTAAAAGAGTTTAAGTTTATTTTTTAAACTTCAAAATTCTTATTTTTTCACCCTTACCATCGCCTCACCCACCCCACAAGCCACCCCTCCCCCCCCTTAAAAAAAATTGTTTTTTTAAAATATTCAACTTCAAATTTTAATTTTTTCACCCGTTCTCTCGAACCCCCCACCCAACCCTATCCCACCACTATAAAAAAAATTTTAAGTTTGTTTTTTCAAAAAAACATTCATCTTCAAAATTTATTTTACACTCTAGTAAAAATAAAAGATATTTCTCAAATAACATTTTTCGTTCAAAAACCAAACATCTAAATATTTTTTTGGAAAATATTTTCTATTCACTAACCAAACATGAAAAAGTAAATCAAATATCTACTTATTTTCCAGAAAAACATAATGTATGGAAAACATTTTTTTTCATACCAAACACACCAAAATGTTAATAGTATAACAATATATGTACGATGATTTTATGTGTTCTCTACCTGAATTATCCTATATTCAATTTTCCTTTTAAAAATATCTGAACAATCATATATTATTTATCAAAATACATCTTAGTTATCAATTATTTTATTTTTTTGACCGAAATATCATCATTAAAATGTAATTTGAGAAGCTTCAAATAAAATAAGTGCAAACACCTAAGGTTGACAATGGTTTACACTAGGTTGGAGGCTCCCTTTTATATCTCGAGAAAAAAAAAGAGATTTTTAATGAAAACAATAAAGTTCGACCCAAAGTTTGACTAAAGTATTTTATTTTATTATATTTTTTTAAAAAAAATTATCAAAAGATAAATTATCCTTTTTCCTAATATTCAAATATGAAATATATAGGAACTAACCATATTTGTTGATTCTATGTATTGAGAACCAAATAAAAAAAGTGAAGAAATCAATTGCCATATTAGCTAAAAAAAATTTAAGACTATTGAATTATTTTCCTATAAAGAACTTCTTAATGAAATTACCAAAAATGCTAATTTAATTTTTAAATATCTCTTTTAAAAATTTATTTGTCTATATTATTTGAGTTTCTTATTGTTATTCACTTCTTATTTTATTTTAGTGTGAAATTAAGAGAAATTTAAAAAAAATTGAGAACAGAAAAAGACAAAAATAAGATTTTTAGTTTTATTTTTTAAAATAAAAAATCGAATAAATATACAACAACAAGATAACATATAGAGAAAAAATTAATCAAATAAATATATAAATCAAAATTAATTTTTCACTTTCGTGAGATAAAAGGTGTATAAATCATTTAATAGGAGTATACACGAGTCACTCTTGTAACATAGGGTATATCAACTCCAAATTTCTAAGTTGAGAGGTATACCATGTCCTTTTTATTTAATCTTTTGGGATCGAGTCAAGTCTATCCTCTTTTAGTTGAGTTTTTTTACTACTTAGATTAAATATTAAAAATGGTTTAAAAAATTGATATTTTATTCTATTATAAAACATAATTATGTGATAATGATAAGAAAAAATCATAATTATATGTCCATTTATGAAATTCAACTAATGGTGCAATTTAAATAGATAATATATATATATATATATATATATATATATCAAATATTTTGTGAGAAAAAAACAAAACACATCACAATTCTTATCTTGTGTTCACACTTTGTATTCTTTAGAATTTCCCCCTAATTTTTTACGATTCAGAATTATATGTGACTGTCACATGTATAGTCAACCTGTTTTCTTCTATATAAATAGATCACTAACATTTCTTTCTCTCTATCTCTATTCAAAAATCAAAAGGTGTGTAGAAAACCTCTCTTATATATTTATTTTCTCTTTGTTTGTTTTAGTTGTTTATGATATAAATTGTTTGTGTAAACAATAAATCAAATAGTTTAAGCTTAATTTTTTTTGTGTTTCTTTTGCTATTTGTTTTATCAAACAGAAAATTAGAAAAATGACAGATTCTGGAGAAGAACACATTGGAGAATCATCGAATTCCCAAAAGAAATCAAAAAGGCAAAGACAGTGTCATAGACACACTATGGAACAAATCCAAAGACTTGAAGCGTAAGATCAATTTTTTTAAAGAAAAACTTAATCCTTCATATATGTTTAATTTTTTTTGTTTGTTCATAGAGATGATGATTTTTTTCTTAAAAAACATGAACGATAAAATTAAAATTCATTAGCGATATAGTAATTTATTTTCTATATGTGTTATTTGCACATTAATTTATGTTTATTTTTTATCGATTTCAAGTATTGCTTTTTTTTTTTTGTTCTTTGTATATCTATTGATATTTAGTAAAAGATCTGCACTTTGATTTTGCTATTCAATTTTTTTTTATTGAGTTACTAAAATGATTCAAAATAATTTATTTGGATGATTGATCTACATGTAGATACATTTTTATGAATGAATCTGTTTGTTCTTGATTATTCGTTAATAACTTTAGCAGAAGGAGATGAATTTCTTTAATTTTTATGTCTTTCGCATTTTTGTACCAAAAAAACAATCTCTTTCTCAGGGTGTTAGACACCTCTTTTGAGGCTTGATTAATTCAGATTTTGTATATGTAGATACATTTTTTATAACTGAATTTGTTTCTTCTTTATTATTCATTAATAATTTTGGCATAAGTGGATGAATTTCTTTAATTTCAATGTCTTTTTCATTTTTGTACCAAAAAAACAAAAATATCTTTGTCTGAGTGTTAGATACCTCTTTGAGGCTTGATTAATTTAAATTTAAATAAACAAAATTCACTTTAGGGTCCAACAAATCCAGATTGCATTAAAAAAATTCACTTTAGAGCCCATCTAATCTAGATCTGTGTCGAAAAGTCCCACTTTAGGGCTCGATTAGTTCAGATTCGTATTAGAAAGTCTCACTTTGGAGGATAAACCACTCCCTACTAAAAATGACAACTCCAACCATACAATTGAACATGAGACCTATAGTTAATGATAAAGGGTACTTACTACAACTCAATCTATGGTGAGTATATGGAGCATGATCTAGGGCCCGAGTAATCCAAATTCAAGCAGGGAATCAAGTCCTGTTTTAGGGGTAAATCGTTCCTTACCAAGGAGGTTTTACAGAGTCTTTTTTGTTCTTTGCATCTTCAATTTTTGTTTTTTTAAAAGAAAATGAATAATAATTTTTTAAAATTTTGAATGAAGATTTTTCAAAGAATGTCCGCATCCAGATGAGAACCAACGAAACCAATTGGGTAGGGAAGCAGGGCTTGACCCAAAGCAGATCAAGTTTTGGTTTCAAAACAAGAGGACTCAAACAAAGGTAATTTTAATTAATTAGTTCTTTTTCTATAAATTCAACTATACTTAATTATTATTATTATTATTGTTGTTGTTGTTATTGTTATGCAACGAAAAGTTGATAAAAAAATTTTTGCAACATATTTTGCAAAAAATTAAAAAAAATAGCTAGTTAAAAGTAGGAGAGCTAAAATGACCAGACTAGTGTATCTCTTGCATTAGACCCTAAAATTAGTTCTCTAAATTTGGTTAAATTGATAAAATATGGGAACAAATACGGCAATTTCTTAATATTAATTAGGTTATTTACTTCCATTTTCATTCCCCCCCACCCCCCTTCTATGTACAATTAATTTCATTGGGGGTATCAAGTTGCAAAGCAAGTTCACTGACC